GGGTGTTGATTCTTGAGTGTGTAAATCATTAGGTTTTTAATAGAAAATTAAGCATTTTTATAGAATAATTACCTCGCCTGCGCTTTTGATATATACTGATAATAATACTACTAAATAATAATACTGATTCAAAATACTAGTGAGGATCGACAGTTAAAGATGAAGTCAAGTCAAGGCCTTAGCAGTTAGTCTGGATATCGCGAAGGCCTTTGATCGGGTGTGGCATAGAGCGCTGCTTTCTACCTTCATTTGGGTTGCCTGCGAGACTGTGCATTTGGGCGCCAGTTTTCTCAAGGAACGTAGCATTAAAGTCGTAGTCGACGGAGCATGCTCTGATTTAAAACCTTTGAACCCCAACTCTGTTTCTTCTGCATATCAATGATGGTTTTGCAGACGACAGTACAGGAGATACATTATATACCGGTCATGCGTATCTCACTGTAACTCACTGTATGACAGCACTGACCACAGTTTTAAGTTTGATCATTGTTGCGGGGCATCAACGTGTCACTATTGTTAACATTTCATGAAAAGTAGCATCCCAATTACTAGCAATCCCATTCGCCTAGTTTTATTAGGTCTTTTGCAATAATAATGTCTGTAAATTTTGTTGCAGCTTGAAAGCCTAGATAACTGCATACTGTATACTGTATACATATATACAACTGTATACAATAATAATATATATTAACTGCATACTGTATACTGTATACATATATACAATATATATATATATATATATATATATATATATATATATATATATATATATATATATATATATATATATATATATACAAAAACTTACCTCTTTTCTCTTACCACTTTGATTTTTTTGTGTAGTATATATATAATAGATAATTATGGAATGGTAACCCTGCCTACGCTCTCAGTATACGCTGGCGAGGCACCATTGATGAATAGGTAAGAATAAAAACAGATCAGTTAGCCTATTATGATAATTTCATCAAAATTAATCACAATTGTTTCTAAAAAGAACCGTAGATATCGACCTGTCAGAGTATATTGTAGAAATGGGGTTGCTAGTCTTCGTTACTAACAATCCCTTCTCCCTCTACCACTTTAATTTAGGTAAGCCATAAGCTTGTTTAATAAGAATTTAATCCCGACTATTTCTATCTATTTTCACTACAGATTCCTGTTGATGGGGCAAAAAAAAACAATAACCAAATATCTATATACTAAAGTCTCTTGCTTTATTCACTTTTAACAAATATCTCCTAAAAATATACCGGTTGCCGATGCTATTGATAGCACATGGAATATTTGATCGTAATAGCATACTCTAGACCTCCTCCGACACCTTCATCACTCCACGTTTGCATCACTATCATTTTCTACTTACTAATATTATATTCAAATGTAATTTCTCTTAAAACCGAATTTATTTACTAATTCCTAACATACTTGAAAACCCCTTTACAATCTCATACGAACAATCTTCAGTACAATTATATTAATATTTATACCCATATAATATGAGCAAAGGGAATAAAGCCGTAGAAAGCCATGCTCGGTAGAGTGAAGTGGATGACGTTTACCCATAGAATTAATTCCCATATTAGCTATGCATCAAAGGACTCCAAAAGCATCATTGAGTGCCCTTCTGTGATTTAAACCTGAATACAATACCGGGGAAATCATAAGCTATCGCTACCTTTGAGCACATCTTGACCTACTTTTGTCTACAAAATCTTATACCTATACTGATACACTATTTTGCATTCTTCTATGAATGAGGTAGTTTTTTTTTTTTTTAAATAAATAATTAAAGATTATGTCTCACAAAAAAAACCGTCTTCAATTTTGACAAAACCAACATTTTGGTCAAAAATTAAATTTAGATTTTTGATAAAACTTCTGTGAAGCTAATGTGTAGTATATCCTGCAAATAAAAAATAATTTTCCAAATCGGTTTAGAATTGATGATGTTTTAAGGTAACGAACGTAAAAAAAATACAACTGACTTGAGAACCTCCTTCTTTCTAAAGTCGATTGAAAATACAATGTAGGTACTGAAGTTTTGATAAAATTGTTATTATAACTTTATACCCTACTACACCTTTTTTCCGTGTGGTCCCAGCATAGAATAGGCCATCCCTTCCTTACCAGTGAGTATCGTAAGAGACGACTAAGGGAGAACGAGGGATGGCCAGCAGCGTCCCTCTTAAAACATCTCCAAAACCTAACTGCGGTTACCAATCCATCTGCCAAGCGTAACAACTACTGGCAAAACTCCCCTAAAGGGAGGCTTATGTACAGCAGTGGATAGATATGACGATGATAACGATGATACCCTGTTAAGTCGTACCGGAAAACTATCATTAATTCTTTCTTTTTTATCTTAATCTATCATTAATTCCCAAAGAATTGGTCACAAGGCCTATCAACCTAACTTCGGGGAGAAAGGGATTGTTAGTAACGGGGTCTAACTGCTCCATTGCTAGCAATATACCCTATCAGGTTGACCTCCACGTGGTTCCCCCTGGAAAGCATCGTGGTTAATTCTAGTGCAATTTATCACGATGGGCTAACTGACCTGCTTTCATCGTCACCTATCATCCCTCACTGGTGCCCCGGCAGCGTATACCTTTAGCGTGGAGGGGGTTACCATTCCATTATAATCCATTAAAAAAAACCTGACTTCATTCTGACTTGTCATCAATCATTACATACCATCACCAGAATATACCAGTAGCAATATTATGCAATATTAAAAGGACTATATTAGAAACAATGATATTAGAAGACATAAAATCAAGATGTCTACGCCGTTATTGCCATATAGGCGAACATCGTACTGAATATTGTGCGAATTGGAATCCTTTGATATAGTATGTCATTCTGTATTGCCTATAGGCGAGAAAAATTGGTCATAAACAATGCCCTTTTGTACATATGTTCTCTAATTTATCTATATTATTTTATACACAATAATCAATCACTGTTAATTATTCACGCAGAAACTAAAAAACGGCATAACCACATTGATTTTTTTTTCAATTTGTTCGTTATAAAACACAGCTGATTTAAGAGAAACAAAATTCAGAAAATCTTAAAGTTTCTTTTTTTTATACCACTGAGGTGGCAAACAAACATACGGCCCACCTGGTGGTAAGCGGTTACCGTAGCCTATGAACGCCTGCAATGTCAGGGGTATTACGCGCGCGTTGCAGACCCTGAAGAAACCTCTTTACCCCCTTTTTGAAGTACCTCATACTATAGTCTCTTGAAAAAACCTCAGCAGGTAACTCATTCCATAACCTGAGTGTTAAACCGCGTTGTATGCGACCATCTAGGCTGTAGGGTACGAGGGTGAACTCCCTGTCGAAGAAAGTACTATATACTAACTTGCCGTTGATGCAAAATTAAAATGTTAAATTTTTGTATGGATTAAAAATGGCTTCATTGCGGTATTGGTTTACATTGATATCAGTGAGACGACCAGTGGGGATGAAAACAGGTGTGTCGTGATAAATTGATTATATCAGAAACTAGACAAAGTTTCAAAAATTGCATGAAGGTAAACTTAACATTTGTTATAGTTTGGAACTGCAGTCTAATATTTTCAATGAAATTCTTTTTTAGATGTAACGAAATATCTGGAAGTCAATCAGTAAATATTCGTCATTGAAATTGCTTTTTACCTTGTTCTTATTTAGTTTTTTTTATTTATTTATAGATAACAAAAAGGCATAGCAACGACAAAAACTCATAAAAAGACTAGGTACTCAATTTATTACATAAAATATGCCATAAAATAATAATAATTAAATATATATTTTTTATGTCAGACACGTTTTATTGTTTGTAAAATTTATAATCATTACATTTTATTAGTAACATGTCACGTATTAAATTCGTGACATAGAAATATTTATATGGAAAAATAAAATACATGTATAATAAAACCTGATCGTATCTGAGGTAAACGTACAGACCGAGAGTTCCATACATTAAATATTATAGATTTTGTTACCTTCAGATGAAAATTTATAAGAATGGATATAACTCGATTTAAATACAAATGTATTTACTGTTATATCTTAAGTAAAAATGACGTTCAGCAGTTCCAACTATAGTTAATAAGTAGATCCGTAACTAATGGACTTTCTAATTGTATCTTGATAATTTCTCAAAAATTTTGCTAATTAGATACTTTATACAATTCTTTATGTGTGTTTTATCAACTGTAAATCAAACTTCAAACTTTTATTTTCATGAATTTCAGCAATAAGGATGATATTCTCAAAAATTATGCGATATAAAAAGTACAGAATGAAACATTTTCAATTACTCTATTTGAATTAAAACGCTTATTTTGAAATAAAAATAAATCTATACTTTTCTTGCGATAAGGATAAATATATGAAAAGCTGTTTCAAATTTAAAATTGATAGAATTTTATTTATATATGTTATTAATATTTTTTTAGAATCAGTGATTATAAAGGTTTTATTTACATTTCTAAAACAGAATCCTAATTAGTAATTGTTTTAACTTAGGCTGAGTATGCATAATACGCATCAAGTATTTACAATAATGATAGTAACTTTTTTGTTATTTTTACCTGTTTTCATTTTCTCCGTCAAAGAATAAAATAAGTAATGTTGATGCACATATATAGTTTCAAGAGTATGAGTTTGTCCATAGTCCATTACAAGTGGACAAGTTTTTTTATACTAAGAGCCACATGCTTATTGCGGACTTTGAAGAAACCTTAATACGTCGTATTTCATGAACCCCATACAGTAGTCTCTAGGGAAAACCTCCACAGAGAAGACGCTCTTTTAAATTCTGCAAACTGAATTCGATTTATTTGTACTCCATTTCTACGTTATGTTCACAGCCTAAAATAAGTCGTGACAAAGATTTTAATAAAAAATAATAATTAATTATTTTATTGTGAAATATAAAATTGTAATAAATTTTTAAAATATTTTTTTACTTTATTGCATTTTCTCCTTTAAATACTCGAGCTTCATAGAAACAATTCAGTCTTATCCAGAAGGAGAAATCAAGTCTAAATCAAGATGAAACCCGTAATATTGGCTTTGTTCCTTGCAACCTTGCCTGTTGGCCTATTCGCACAATTCATGTCACGTAAGTAATCTTTACTAATAATATAAATGAAAAGTCTTGTTTGTTTGTTTGTTATCATATTGGTGCCTTAACGGCGCAGCCTATCATCATGAAAATACAAAATTTGACTACTTCTTATCTCGATCAATTAGCACATCTCACTTAGACAAAGTTGCGGTTTATTGGTGTCACTTATATGGAATACAAAGAGAAATTAATAAACTTCCTACGCTTGTCGATTCTAACAATTGTTACGACTTTGTCCGGTGGTCTTCAAGGACAGTACGGTGCTTATATCGCAACGACTCGTCTCACAGTGTCCATGTATCAGTACGAGTTCGGACAAGGTCACTAGTGGTAGCAATAGATGGCGAGGTTGTTGCTAGAGGTGAATTATTACCTCTGGTATCGTAGTAACTGTATTCCATCATAATTTGTCATTGTACCTTCTCTCAGATCCTATAAATTTTTAAATATCCTTAAAACTAGACTAAATACAATCGAAATGCATTGTACAAATTTTGCAGAGTGAGATTTGCAAATTGCATTCGTGATACAGTAGTGCAAGGGCGAGTATATTTTAAAGATAGTGTCGGTGTAAAAATTAACTACATTGGTTAGAGTATGTAAAATCAATGTTAGATGAGTCGTGAGGCTGATATACAATACGGGGGTGGATAGATGTAGGTATTTATGTAGGTTTATATAGGTATTTTTTATTATTATTTCAGCCGTTAACTGTCCACTGCTAAACATAAGCCTTTCCCATATGAGAAATTTTATTAGTAGTTGCCACGCTTGATAGGCGGTTTGGCAATCGCAGTTAGGCTTTTACAGATATTTTAAGAGGGGTACTGCTGCCCATCCCTCCACCATAAGCTCACTTAGCCATCTCTTACGATACCCATGGGAAAGGAAGTGGTAGCCCATTATATGCCAGGATCAACATGGCAACACAGTATAGTGTTGTATTATCTATACCTCCACGTATTTAATATATATCATAATATGATATTATCATATAATAATCAGCAAGCTATAACTTTCCATAACTTGCTGGCTCTAGGCTATGATATGAGTTTCTTTACGTTACATAGTCCCAAATGAGGATATCAGCAAAAGAACCAAGCTAACCAACATAACTCGAAAGATAATCAAGTTGAAATGGCAATAGGCTAATCACATAGCTCAAAAAACTAATAACCGGTGAACAAGAAAGATTCTTGTGTGCTGACTCCGTACGGGCAAACTCAGTGTAGGATGACCCTCCACTAGATGGTCTGATGTCCTCAAATACATTGTCAGTGTCGGTCAGTAAATGCAGTTGGATCAGGACCGTTCCTTATAGCAGTGTATGGGGGAGGCCTATTATATACTGAGGACATGATATGTATATTGAGACCTTTGGCTGTCATTTCTCCTTACCCACTCCGCAATAGACTTTGCGTGAATCTTTACCTTCCTAGACACGAAAAACCCTTCATAAATAAGAAGAACAGAGAGGCACCTAAAGAAAAAGATATAAACATATATCTTCTTCTTTAGATGCTCTTCTGTGCTTCTTCTCTAAAGGAGATTGACTGCATTTTTTTTAGTTCCACTCTGGCAATTCTGGTTTATTCCAGTGTGTTCCTAAGCCATGACTTTCTATGTGTTCCAATATCTCTTACCTTCTATTTTTTCCATTATAATAAGTTGAAGTTGCTAAAAGCTATCATATCGTAACACGTGCCCGAGATATTCAACCTTACGATTTTTAGTAGTTTACATCAACTTTCTCGACATTGAAACACGTCTGAGAACTTTTTCATTGCTTACTTTGTGCGTCCATCTGATACCGATAATACTACGCCGTTTCATGTTATCTTTAATAGTTCACACGTTACTGCCCTACAATACTATAGGCTAAATATAAAGTGGATGATCTGTAGGTAGTTTGAATTGAATATAAAGTTTATATCTATAACTTATTATAAACTTATTATTATAGCATGGTGGAGTTTCATGAATCCAGGTTAGTAGATCACATAGTAGCATATTTAATAATTTTTAGTCCTCTAAAATAAATGTAAGCTGCTAATCTATGTCCCATAGTTAACAAGAGAATTGAATTTGAATTTAATAGATTGACTATTAATTATTTTATAGTATAGTTAATCGATATTAAACGGGAAGAAAATAACGAAGAATAAAGAACAAAATATGAGGCAAAATGCAAGAAAAATATAACTTAAAATACAACCATATACTTACATATAGGTATAAAGGATAAAAAATTTACCTATGTTTAGATATACAAAATCTTATATAAACTATCATGTATCGATATATATCAGTATATGGTATATAACGTATCCCATGTATTAAAATATAACCTACATGAGTGTCGAATTTCATTCAAATACATTGAGTAACACATCAAAACATCTTTAGAAACATTCAGATTTATTTGTGTTAGTTGGATATCTAGCGCTTGAAATATTTAGAAATAATAGCTATGCTAATTTAAGTTGGTAACATTTTTTAAATACACTGACAAAATTTGTCAGACTGTCAATTAGTGCACAGAAATTTGGTTAAATTAAATAACCTACGATAAATTTATACCCTGTATAACAGAATATTATTTCTTATATAATATAAAATTCAGATAAATATGTATATATAAAACATAAAAATCTGTTAACAGAGTCTTTCAGCTGCTGAAGTATATTTCATTGTGAATTTTAATTCGAGTTACCCTTAAATTCAATTCAATTTTTTTTTCCTCCTTTCCCTTTTAGTTCAGATTATAAATAGGGGATATAATATATCATCAAAGTAACAACTTTGATCTAGATATTTGCATATACTTTATTTTACAGTAACTGCTCAGATTTGTAACTTAGCCGAAGAAACCTATCTTCATAATTTCTTGTATAAGCATCTGTATATCGTGTAATTAAAATATCTAAACTATTAACAGGAAACTCAGCCACAGGTGAGTATATATTACTCTATATTAAAAAAATAAAAACACATAATTACCAATGTGAGAGCTGTGCTGATGGTGAGCTTTACGTTGTGTTATGTTGTGTCTATCTATATATATGTTTGTTCAAAAAGTACACAAAATTCCATATGAATGAAGGCGCTAGTATAGTATAAATAATTGATCAAAGAGGGAATAACATTACAGAGAATTTATAAAAATAAATACATAGTAATTATAATGGATAAAATATAGCTGTTATTAATTATGTCTATTTATATCAAACCTATTGAAAGTTTGATATGTAGGTAGGTACATAACCAAGTACTGTAGGGAGTCAGTGGGTCAGGACCATTCCTTATGACTTTCTATGGGGGAGGCTTATGTTCAGCAGTAACAGATAATGGCTGAGATGATGATGATATCAAACCTAAGTAGTTATCTAATAATATTTACAATAATCGACGTGGTTTTGGTAATAGTTTAAATAACTCTTGTGCATTTGTTATTCTGTATTAAGACAAATTTGTAATATAAAATCAACTTTTGTTTGAAAAAAACAATTGAGTTTCGTCAGTCGAAGTTGCATATCGAGGGGGCAATATATTCATAAAATATGATTATTCAAATATGTTTATAATTAAATTTATGTCATTAATAAATACTCTTATTCCTATTTCTACATTTGTTTCACGTGATGTCAGCGCATAAAAATAAAAACTCACTGCTCGACTTTTATAAGGAATAGCTTAAATGTACCATTACAAGATCGATTTTCGACACCCACGCAATGTATATCAGCCATTACTGTTCATTGCTGAACATATACCTCCCTCATAAAGGGGGTTTTGCCAGCAGTTGCCACGCTTGACAGGCGGGTTAGCATCCACAGTTAAGCTTTGGTGATGTTTTAAACAGGCCGCTGCTGCCCATTTCTCGACCATTAAATTCCCTTAATCGTCTCCTACGCCACCTATGGAAAAGGAAGGATTAACCTATTTTATTATTGGGACTGCCGGATGGAAACACATCAGCGAATTAACCCTCAAAATCTGCCCACAGTTTTTTACATATTATTAAAACACGCCGACAATCAAACATTACAAATTTTCTTCAAATATTTATTTATTTTATGGTTTCTGTATGTCAATAGTAGGTGTAATGTTACAGTACAAAGTACCACCGTAATTTTATTATTTCCTAAAGATAAATTAATATATGTAAGTTTGTTTAAAAGATATTATGCAGAGGATATTCATTTCTAAAAGGCCGACAATACACCTGCAATTTCTTTGATGTTGCGGGTACCTGTGTTGCCCCTATATTTTAAAAAATACATTATTTTAATTATACATAGTAAACTTATTGCTGTTAAATATTTATTATTATTATTATTAATAGCAATGGCCTCATCAAGTGCAAATAGTGATGGTGAGTCTAATAATTCATTTAGATTTCATGTCTAGCTCACACTAGCGTAATTGTAAATGTTTCGACAAAAACAATCAAATAATAATAGTTATTGCTTTTTGATCGCGTTCAGGACAAGTTGCATCTATGACAATCTGCATACATGTCGAACCTGCATTTATGATAATGCGACGAACTGCGTTTGTATCAGATGGCATGGAACTTTTTTGTTATTGATCTGATGTGAAAATAGCCGAATATGTTACTTCATGTAATTTACCGAAGTCATGTAATCCCAATATTACAATTATTATTATTATTTGACTTGAAAATTCTGAAGGATAGTATTTATACTGGACTGTAGTTTTTGATGTATATCTTGCTGCTTGGTTTCTTTGTTAATCAGTAATACCTAACATATATTGAGGATTATAATTTCGAGTTAACCCACACTTGTACTTGTCTATTTCTTCATAACATAGTAAATTAATATTTTCTACTTAGACCGTTTTGTACAACCACTATGAAACCTTATTAAAAAAGAAATATATGCTATCACCATACGAGGAATCAATATTCTTTAGAAAAAAAAACCTATCTTTATTTTATAACGAAAATATCTCAATTTTTAACAGGAAATAGCGGAGCTCAAGGTAAGTTTATGAAAAATTAAATAAAAACCATGCTATTACTCGATTAGTTGTTTCTCATAGCTTAATTATTAGTTAGTTACTAGAGTATACTTATAAAAAAAAAAGGCTAAAACATTTAGAGAAATAAACCTAGAAACTCATAACCACTGTAATGAAGGAAAATTACATAAAAAAATATGCATATTATTGTATTTTTGTCTGTCTGCATGTATGTTTAAAAACCACATAAAATACTACAGAACGTAAATGCATTCAGAAAATAAATGTATCAAAAAGATAATATGTATGTTATTTTTCAATTACTATTTTAATTTCTATTCCTATCTACAGTCGAATGGATAGATAACGCCATATGGTGTTAAGTTCGCCATTTATACATTCTAAGTATATTAAAATTTAATAAGATTTCGTGTTTCAACTGTGCAGCAGTTGCATGGCTGTGTTTCTGTTTGAAGTGTGGAATATGGCGTGAATTTACAGGGTATAGAGGAATAACACCTGAGTCCTCAGGAATGACAACGCATGGGAGGTATCATGGGTGAAACGATGTGCTCTGTTATGCTCATGTCTATAGGCGACGGTTGCCACTTTTCATCAGGTGGGCCGTCAGCTTGTTTGCCATTCTAAGTTATAAGAAAAAAGAAAAACATAAGATACATAAATTAAGACAATCTGATTAAAACTGATAAATTATAACAATATACCCGTAACAGACAGAAAATCAAACTGCAGGCAATCAGTGGATGCAAAAGGCTCAGAACTGTCAACAACAAGTTTAAAAGTTTAAATCAATTATATTCCTAAAAATATCAATCAGCATCAGCAACAGAATTCTTTAAAAAAAATATTTAATCACAATAAATTTTGTGTTGTATTAAATTATATTGTACTATTATTACAATAGCTATCTCACAAGCGTCGTCATCTGGTAAGTCAATTAAATTATTATAATCATTATTACTCACAGCATCAAATGGCACGGTGCTATCTTATCCATGTTTCCAATTCCTTAATAAAAAACAAAGAAAAAGCTTCAACCTACATATCGACGTCTAACCGCCAATAACTCCTGTCTAACATGAAAAGAATTTTACAGGTGCTACAGACATCCTAATCCTGAATTTATTCTAAATAACGATGAAAGCAAGAAATAGACTATATGATTTTGATATAAATTCTCATTAATATAACTATGAATAAATATTTTATACTTGTAGATATCAATTAAAAGTTGTTAGCGATTGACTGTCAATATAATATTCATTCCCCGAAGGATAATCAAGCTGAAGTGACAATAGGCTAGTCACATAGCTCAAAGAACCGACAACCGATAATGAAGAAAGATTCTTGTGTGGCGATCCCGTACGACAAACGCAGTGTAGGATGACATCCCAATAGATGGTGTGATTCTCTCAAATACATTGTAAAAAGTCACTGGACGCAGGTGACTCGGGACCGTTTCTTATGGCGATGTAAGGGGGTGGCCTATGATCAGCAGTGGACTGATAAAGGCTGATATGGTGATAATAATTTATCTCATATAATGATATTAATTTATCTCAACTATGAATGATAATGGTGTAAAAATAATTCAGGGAATTCATAATGACAATAGTAACGAAACCACTAAGTCTTACAAACAAAAAGAGTCAATGTTACCCCAATAAATAATTTATTCATTCATTCATTCATTCATTCATTCATTCAACATCCCCAACTGCTACTGTAATTAACTGACTAAGCTGTCGCCACTTATTTCCATAATTAAACATTTTTTTTTTATATATCTGGCTGTAAACCTGAATATACTTATACAATAAAATTGAAAAAATAATAAATTCAAAACTCAGTTTAAAATATCTTCTTAAAAACTTATCTATGTTAATTATCTAATGAAAATATTAAACTTTTAGGAGGAAATGCCGGAGCCGTAGGTAAGTTTACAAAAAATAAGTACCATACAATCATTCCATTACATTATTCTTATAATAAATTATACACGTTTAAAAAGAAATTATACGAAAATCACCTGGGAATACAACCGAGAACACTTAAAAACAAGCTAAATTAAAAAAGTTGTTTTTTTTTTCTAAATTGGTTCGACGGATTTCTTATCTGATGATTTCTTCCCAAATCTCCTTCCATAATCTCCCTAAGGCGACCTGAAATCGTTTTTAGTTTTCCTTCTCTTGCACTTATTTATTCTTTGCCCTCTATGACATCCTTGGAATAGAAAGAAACAGTGTTAAATTATTCTTACGCTTTCACCACTCGAACACAGATTAGAAAATACTAAACTATTATATATAGGTGTGCCTTAGCTTATATGTGAAATTATTTTTAACTATATATTTTTAATAACTTATTCTGTATATCGTGTTTTTGAGCAAATAAATAATTATTTTTTTAACTATTATTTTCAATACTATAGCAATGTCGTCAGCGAACTCAGGCGGTGAGTGAAAATTACAATTAATTTTTCATGACAGTCCTAACTTATTTTTACTTTTTTGTATTAATAAATGTTGTTGTGTTAATAAACCGCAAAGCAATGGAGTCAATGAGCTTCTTAACTTACCCGACTGAGTAAGAGAGGAAGCATCGTGTTTCAGGTGTATATAAATACCAAAACATGACGCAGCATATAGAAACTGCCGAATGAATTTTGTATTAAATAGAATAGGTATTGTTTCATTCATCATAACCGTAAACAATGACATTCTACATAACAGCAATTAAAAATAGATATGGCAACACAAATGTTGTTTATTTCTTTATCGAACATGTAATCATCGTCATCGTGTAAGCCATTAACTGTTCATTGTTGAACAGAAGCCTTTCTCATAAGGAGAGTTTGCTAGTAGTTGCCACGCTTGCCAAGAAAGTTGGAAATCACAGTTAGACTTTGATGATGTTTCGAACATAGATGCTGCTATCCATCTCTCAACCATTAAGTTCCTTAGTCGCCTCTAACGATACCCACGGGAAAGGATAGAATGACCCATTCTATGCCGGGACCACACGGCAATTATATGCATGTAACATAAATTATAACCAAAATAGCATTATTGAAATTTTTGTATAATAAGAAACTTTTAATTATATTTTTAAAATACTAACGATAAATACCTAATCTCACCCACAGGAAACAACACAGGAAGTCAGGCAATAGGTATGTAATAAGTTATAAAATATTACGAATTGACAATTATTTTTTATTATCTAATAATAAAAAAATAACTATTTATTATATACCATATATTATATACTATTTCACATCAGGTGAACCGTATGCTCGTTTGCTCCTTGTTTTCAAAAATCAAAAAAAGACAAAAAACTACATTCCCCGGCTTCGAAAATTTGTCTTATTTTTTTCATTAGTATATCCGTGTATAGTAATAAAGAAAATGAGACAAATTTTCTCTTTATACATACTACCTTCTGTCTGACTCAGTCGCACATTTTTTTACGTGGAAATGTTTAACCCATATTTTCACTGCTCCATGCACTTTTTAAAAAAAAAATTATACAAAACTTGTCTTACCAGTCACAAACACTACCAAAAAAGAATTGGCAAAATGGCTGCATTCGTAAAACTATTCTTTTAAAACCGATAGGATTTGTAGTTGTTGAGTTTAAACACAGACGGATGGAAAAACACACGACATTAGGATTCCTTTGTACCATTTTTGGTATGAAACCCTGAGGTATAATTTTTATGCAACTTAGAATGACAATCAAGCTGATAGTCCACGTGATCGAAAGACCGTCGCCTATAGACATGAACAGTACCATAGACAACAGTATACTATGTCACACACTGAACCACTCATGCCATGCCATTCCTAAGGACTAAGGTGTTATGCTTCTGTACCCTGTAATTTCATTGCCTTATCTCACCCTTCAAACCGAAACACATCCATACAAACACAACTGCTTTAGGACAGAAACGGATTGTGCTTAAAGGAATTGTTCAATCTGATGCCCACGGCCACTTTCTTTCAACGCAGTTTCAGAGATGTTTTCTCCCACGAACACTCAGGTTATGTAATGGACTCCCTGCTGAGGTTTTCCCAAGAGACTACAACATGGGGTTTTTTAAAAGGGAGGTAAATAGGTTTCTTCAGGGTCGGCAACGCATTCGTAATACCCCTGGTATAGCAGGCGTTCATAGGCTATGGTAACCGCTTACCATCAGGTGGGCCTTATACTTGTTTGCCACCTCAGTGGTATAAAAAAAAGAAACACGAATAGAACCGAACGAAGCGAATAGGTAATGAAGCAGAGGACTTTTATACAAAGTCTTTCTCTGGTATAAGATATACCATATACGTGAGAGTATTTCTGATTATTGTTTATTTTTATTATAACAGCAATGGCATCCAGTGGTGAGTGAGAATCATAATTTATTTATCATTAAAAACATAATTTATCTATATACATACATATATAATCTCTTCTTCTTATATTTCCATATGTGAAACCCGTTAAAACATAACAACAAAATTAATAAGATAATTTATATTTTTTCTATGCCTATATACATATATATATATATATATATATATATATATATATATATATATAATAGATAATGCTGAGTGACTAAGTAACTCCATATATCAACACAAAGGCGAAATGGCTGAATCTAATATCTTTTAATTTTTTTTTCTGAAAATTCAACCCCCAAGGAGGTAAAACAAGGGTTAAAAGTTTGTATGAGATTTTATTAGTTTAAATACATTTTAAATATAGTGTCATAGTTTAAAACAAAATATGTTTAGCTTTTTGAAGAATGAATTCTTGCAAAGACTATAAACCCCTAAAAGGTTGAAATAGAGGATAAAAATGTGTATAGGAATTCTGTTATAATAATTATAAAACTTCTAGTTTCAATTATAATTTAAAGTATTTATTTAGGATTTAGAACCCAAAAATTTTAAATCAATAATAAGATTCCTAGCACCCAGCAAGATCTTACACCACCAGCAGTCACCAAAAAGTATTATAAAGTTGTAAATTCTGAGAAATAGACTGCATTTGTCATCTCTATGGAAACACATTATATAATAAATAAATGAAATAATATTGTATTATTGTATAAAAATTAGATAAGGACACTACTCATTTTCTCCCCCTTTGGCTGATTTTAAGTAGGTATTTGTCAAGAATTAAATGCACCAGGGTTTTCAGCAATTCCGTAAAGTATAAGATTATGTTTGAACTTACACACTTATATATAATAAGTGTTGTAACGTGGTATGAACCCACACACTTCACACCACGTTACAACGCTACAAAAACAAATTTGAGGTTTTTTCTAATTCCGTAGAAGCAGAAAATTCTGGAGGCGAAGGTACGTATGGAAATTTAAACTTTTCATATGCGAGTCTAATGAAATTATATAGTTTTATTGAAAGAAATATATTACACTGCAGAACATCGTTCGGCATATCTATAGGGATAAATTATATAATGTATTACAAATATTTTAACCTAGAACGCCTTCTCTCTGTCTTTGTCTCATACTAAATCGGTGTTTTATAAGAAACAAATCTTATGACAAAAATTTAACTGATAAGCTTAAGGTTTAATGTATATATTTCAAATTATATCACAACACAACAATAATATAATAATTAATATTTTCTCCTAATTTTATAAAAGAGGAAAATTCTGAAAATTAATTTAATGTTTTTTTCAAATTCCATAGAAGAAGAAACTACTGGAGAAGGTACGTAAAGAAGTTTTATCTTTTCTTATGCAAGTCTAATAAAAGAAAATTATAATATTTTAAAGGAAAGGATATATTTTAACGCGCAAAGTAAAAATTGTTTTTTCAGTCGTAGCAGAAAATGCCGACAAAGACGCAATATCGGAAAAATGTTTGCACTTTAGTCTAAAATTTCAAGAACATAAAAAATATTTTGTTTTGTACTCAACAAATGTTTACTCTGCAAAAATTGGGGGGCGCAAAAATGTTATTAGGCCAACATGGAAATAACAATTTATGATTGTAAAAGAATATCGTTTGGCATATCTAAAGGAACATTCTATATAATATATTACAAATATTTTACCCTAGAACGTATACCTCCTTCTCTTTACTTCTTTGTCTCACAATAAATCGGTGCTTTATAAGAAACAAATCTTTTGACAAAGATTTAAATGATAAGCTTCAGGTTTAATGTATATATTCCAAATTATATCACAATACAACAGTAATATAATTAATCTTTTCTCCTAATATAATAAAAGAGGAAAATTCCGAAAATTAATTTAATGTTTTTTTCAAATTCCATAGAAGAAGAAACTACTGGAGAAGGTACGTAAAGAAGTTTTATCCTTTCTTATGCAAGTCCAATAAAAGAAAATTGTAATATTTTAAAGGAAAGAATATATTTTAACGCGCAAAGTAAAAATAGCTTTTTCAATCGTAACAGAAAATGCCGACAAAAACACAATATCGAAAAAATGTTTGCTCTTTAATCCAAAATTTGGAGGACATAAAAAAATATTTTGTCTTGTACTCAGCAAATGTGTACTCTGCAAAAATTAGAAGCCGCAAAAATTTTATAAGGCCAATATAGAAATAAACATTTATGATTGTAAAAGAACATCAATTGGCATATCTATAGGGATACATTACATAATATATTACAAATATTTTACCCTAGAACGCATACTTCTCTCTCTCTCTCTACCTCTTTGTCTCATATTAAATAAATGCTCTATAAGAAATAAATCTTTTGACAAAGATTAAAATGATAAGCTTAAGTTTTAATGTATATATACCGAATTATATCACAACACAACAGTAATATAATAATTAATCTTTTCTCCTAATTTTATAAAAGAGGAAAATTCTGAAAATTAGTTTAATGTGTTTTTCAAATTCCATAGAAGAAGAAACTACTGGAGAAGGTACGTAAAGAAGTTTTATCTTTTCTTATGCAAGTCTAATAAAAGAAAATTATAATATTTTAAAGGAAAGGATATATTTTAACGCGCAAAGTAAAATAGTTTTTTCAGTCGTAGCAGAAAATGCCGACAAAGACGCAATATCAGAAAAATGTTTGCACTTTAGTCTAAAATTTCGTGAATATAAAAAATATTTTGTTTTGTACTCAGCAAATGTTTACTCTGCAAAAATTGGGGGGCGCAAAAATGTTATTAGGCCAACATGGAAATAAAAATTTATGATTGTAAAAGAACATCGTTTGGCATATCTAAAGGGACATTCTATATAATATATTACAAATATTTTACCCTAGAACGTATACCTCCTTCTCTTTACGTCTTTGAAAATGCCGACAAAAACACAATATCGAAAAAATGTTTGCTCTTTAATCCAAAATTTGGAGGACATAAAAAAATATTTTGTCTTCTCATAATAAATCGATGCTTTATAAGAAACAAATCTTTTGACAAAGATTTAAATGATAAGCATCAGGTTTAATTTACATATTCCAAATTATATTACAACACAACAGTAATATAATAATTAATCTTTTCTCCTAATTTTATAAAAGAGGAAAATTCTGAAAATTAATTTAATGTTTTTTTTCAAATTCTATAGAAGAAGACACTACTGGAGAGGGTACGTAAAGAAGTTTTATCCTTTCTTATGCAAGTCTAATAAAAGAAAATTATAATATTTTAATAGAAAGAATATATTTTAATGCGCAAAGTAAAAATAGCTTTTTTAATTGTAGCAGAAAATGCCGACGAAAGACACAATATTGGAAAAATGTTTGCATTTTAGTCTAAAATTTCGAGAACATAAAAAATATTTTGCTTTGTACTCAGCAAATTTTTACTCTGCACAAATTGGGGGCCGCAGTCGTCTCAAAAATATTATAAGGGCAACATGGTAATCGAGATATGATTTTAAAGAACATAGTTTGGCATATCTATAGAGATACATTATATAATATATTACAAATATTTTACCTTAGAACGCATACCTCTCTCTTTCTACAACTTTGTCTCATACTAAATAGATGCACTATAAAAAACAAATCTTTTGACAAAGATCTAAATGATAAGCTTAAGTTTTAATGTATATTTTCCGAATCATATCACAAGACAACAGTAATATAATAATTAATTTTTTAATAAAATAATTAATTTTCTCCTAATTTTATAAAAGAGAAAAATTCAGAAAATTAATTATAGTTTTCTTAAATTCCGTAGAAGAAGACACTACTGGAGAAGGTACGTAAAGATGTTTTATCCTTTGAATTTTATCACAAGACAGTAATATAATAATTAATCTTTTCTTCTAATTTTATAAAAGAGGAAATTTCTAGAAATAAATTTAATGTTTTTCTAATTTCATAGAAGAAGACACTTCTGGAGGAGAAGGTACGTAAAGGGGTTTTATCCCTTCTTATTTTAAGTTTAATAAAAGTATAATGTCTTATTGGAAAGAATAAATTTTAATATATTAAGTAAAAATAGCTTTTTCAATCGTAGCAGAACATACCGAGAAAAGAGACAATATTGTAAAAGTGTTAGCACTTGACCCCAAAAATTCGAGTACGAGTGCTTTGCACCCCTCAAATTTTTGCTCTCTCTCTCTCTCTCTCTCGCTCTCATTTTCTTATACTAAATAAGTATTAAGAAATACACCTTTTTATAACGATCTAAATAATAAGCTTAGGGTTAAATGTATATAGACCAAGTCAAATCACAACACAACAACAATATAGTAATTAGTCTTTTTCCTAATTTTATAAAAAGAGAAAATTCTGAAAATAAAGATATATGAAGAGATTTAATCTTCTTTAATACTAAATTAATAAACTGATCAAATAATTTGAAAGTGTTTCTATTCAGAACCCAAAGATTCTTCTTCGCACCCACTCTTATTCATAATATTTGTGTACGTAGTTTTCAAATAAGTATAACTGTCTATTATGTCTATAACTTATAAGTATGACCACGGGGGGGGGGGCATTTTTTTTTAATTCCTATGTGTATATATTTGAATATTACATTAAGTCTCATGAATAGATTAATCTGATCATCATAATTTTTTATATACCATAGAATGGCCAACAAACTAACGGCTCTCTTGATCGAAAGTAGTGACCTTGGCCCATAGACAAGAACCACGAACATAACAGAGTTTATTGTGTCTCCCATGATACTTTTCATGATATCATCATATCATCATATTATACTATATATTACAATAAATACGTGACTTTAATTCATCTGACGGAGAGTTTGTTTGTACTCAATCGCCTACTTGGGTGGATTCCATGGATAGTAAACTACTAGGCCATAATACTTAAACAATTATGATTGATTATATATAAAATTATCCTATTAATACTGTTATAAGCAGAATACAATGACTTACAAATTAATAATTTTTTTCTTCACAGCTAATTCAGAAGGTGATTCAAGGACTTACTAATTTTAAATACAAATAAATCTCAAATCTAATAATAACCTTTCTCTGTTTTTATATGTACATTTTACATTCGTTATACGTAAATAGTTTTCAATGAAATAATTTTTTATCAGTGATCGATTGAAAGTTATTGTAATATGAATGAAATATTTCACACCATCTGTTAATATTTTCTAATTTACATAAGCATAACGAATATTTACATAAACTTTACATATTTATGTTTGATTAATATAACTTAATAAAAAGTATATACGAAGATATACTTTTTATATTACTGTTTTTTAAATTCATAAGTTATTTGTGTGACGGCACTTGGCATTTCCTGCACTTGGCCGAGAAGTGATATGTTCTGTAGATACTTAACTAGAAGTTATTTCATTAACAATTTTTTCCTTATTTTATATCATAATCATTGTTTTTTCTTTATTATTTACAGCATCATCAAATGGTAAGTTAATATGTTAGATAAAAATAATTTTTTTAATAAATTTTATATAAATAAATCGAGTACATATTAATATATATTTTCACACTTAGATGTATAGATAGCTATATAATGGAGAATATATATATATATATATATATATATATATATATATATATATATAACGCGTAAAGTTTGACGCTTGTATAGGCTCGTATCAACCGACTTCTTTGCTAGTCGGGAAGGTTACTCGAATGAGCATCAGCCATTGAGAGCTTCACCTTGACTCTCAATGTTTAATACTCATCGGTGCATAAGATCACAAGAAGAGGTCACCAGTTGAGTGACTTTGGCGAAAGCTGTATTAGCGGTCACTCAATAAATCACGATTCTCGAGGTATTTCAACAGCTGTACGTTAAATATATGCTACATCAGATGATGGTGCGTATAGTTCATTTGATTTCCGGGGTAATTTCTGGGGTAATTTTTTATTTCCCTCAATATATGTTTGAATTTTATGTCAATCTTCCGAATAGTTTTGATAACAATCACAAATTATTATTCTGCGTACAGATCTTCACGATGTTCTATATTATACTTGCAATTACGTAGCTACTTAGTACAAACTCTCTGCTGGAAAATCCAGGCGAAGCATTGGACTTATTATTTTTTGCACTTGTCTATATAACATTTTGTAATAATCAAGATAATTTCTTTTTAATGTTTAATTGATTCACTTTCTATAACCAATATTTTTCTTTATTACCTTCACAGCAACAGCAACTGGTAAGTCAAGATTTATTACCTTATTTATTTACCTATATTTTTTTCTATCTATGGACGTTTGTTTGTTTTGCAATAAATAATATATACGAGTATTATTATTATTTAATGGATATTTTTTGTGATACTGAAAACTGATATCAAATTTGTATCCTACTATATATTGTGCAATGGAGCATAACATTATTTAAGGATTAAATCACATAAAATATATTGTTTTTACTTATATTCATAGCTGCAGCACAAGGTGAGTCTACACTTTCTATTTCTACACACAAATAAAATTTTAATAATAGCCTTTAAAATATTTATACACATAAGGAGAAACTAACGAACCCAATATGTTTTTGACATATCCGGAAATTGTATCAACTTCATATGGAACTTTTCTACAGGAGGTCTTTAGCGCTTTGCGTCACAGCATCTCGCTTCGCATGTGTGCGAGTTCCGCCTATTTAATTTACAAGTGCCGTAACGAGTATTATTATTACTTAACAGAAATTTATTATGATACTGACAACTAATACCAAAATTATATCGTATTATATAATGTGCAATAGAGTTTGACCTTATTTAAGGATTTAATCGCATTAATTACTCTGTTTTCCTTTATATTCATAGCTCAATCACAGGGTGAGTATAAACTTTATATTTTTAAATACAGATAAAACTTTAACAATAGCCTTTAATGTGTCTTAAAACATTTGGGAAATTAATGAACTCGCTGTATTTTTGTCGTTTCCAGTAATTGTTTCGATTTCATCCTGAATTCTTCTTCAAGGGGCGTTTTGCATTACAGCGTCTCACCTTGCATGGGTGCGAGCTCCAATTATTTGTATTACATTTGCCATAAATAACATTTACGAGTATTATTATTATTTAACAGTTACTTAGTACGATACTTGCAATAGAGTTTAATCTTATTTAATGATTTAATTACATAAACTGTATTGTTCTTACTTATATTTATAGCTGAAGCGGAAGGTAAGTCTAGACTTTCCATTTTTAGATACAAATATAATTTTAATAACAGCCTTTAATATATTTAAATACATAAGGGAAAATTAATGAACCGACTGTGTTTTTGTCATATCCGAAAATTGTATTAACTTCATCCGGAAATTTTCTACAGGAGGTGTTTAGCGCTTTGCGTCACAGCATCTCGCTTCGCACGTGTGCGAGTTTCGCCTATTTAATTTACAAGTGCTGTAACGAGTATTATTATTATTTAACGGAAATTTATTGTGATACTGACAACTAATACCAAAATTATATCGTATTATATAATTTGCAATAGAGTTTGACCTTATTTAAGGATTTAATTGCATTAACTACCCTTTTTTCCTTTATATTCATAGCTCAAGCACAGGGTGAGTCTAAACTTTATATTTTTAAATACAGATAAAACTTTAACAATAGCCTTTAATGTGTCTTAAAACATTTGAGAAATTAATGAACTCACTGTATTTTTGTCGTTTCTAATAATTGTTTCGATTACATCCTGAGTTTTTCTTCGAGGGGCGTTTTGCATTACAGCGTCTCACCTTGCGTGGGTGCGAGTTCCACTTATTTGTATTACATTTGCCATAAATAACATTTACGAGTATTATTATTATTTAACAGTTACTTAGTACGATACTTACAAATATTATTAAATTATATAGTATTATATACTATGCAATAGAGTTTAACATTATTTAATGATATATATATATATATTATTTATATATATATATATATATATATATATATATATATATATATATATATAATTTTAATAACAGCCTTTAATATATTTAAATACATAAGGAGAAATTAATGAACCCACTGTGTTTTTGTCATATCCGGAAATTGTATTAATTTCATCCGGAAGTTTCCTACAGGAGGTGTTTAGCGCTTTGCTTCACAGCATCTCGCTTCGCACGTGTGCGAGTTTTGCTTATTTAATTTACAAGTGCCGTAACGAGTATTATTATTATTATTTAACGGAAATTTATTGTGATACTGACAACTAATACCAAAATTATGCAACGGAGTTTAACTTTATTTAAAGATTTAATCGCATAAATTATTCTGTTTTTCTTTATATTCATAGCTCAAGCACAGGGTGAGTCTAAACTTTATATTTTTAAATACAAATAAAACTTTAACAATAGCCTTTAATATATTTTAAAACATTTGGGAAATTAATGAACTCACTGTATTTTTGTCGTTTCTAATAATTGTTTCGATTTCATCCTGAATTCTTCTTTAAGGGGCGTTTTGCATTACAGCGTCTCACCTTGCATGGGTGCGAGTTTTGCTTATTTGATTTACAAGTGCCGTAACTAGTATTATTATTATTTAACGGAAATTTATTATGATACTGACAAGTAATACCAAAATTATATCGTATTATATAATGTGCAATAGAGTTTGACCTTATTTAAGGATTTAATCGCATTAACTACTCTGTTTTTCTTTATATTCATAGCTCAAGCACAGGGTGAGTCTAAACTTTATAGTTTTAAATACAGATAAAACTTTAACAATAGCCTTTAATGTCTTAAAACATTTGGGAAATTAATGAACTCACTGTATTTTTGTCGTTTCCAATAATTGTTTCGATTTCATCCTGAATTCTTCTTCAAGAGACGTTTTGCATTACAGCGTCTCACCTTACATGGGTGCAAGTTCCACTTATTTGTATTACATTTGCCATAAATAACATTTACGAGTATTATTATTATTTAACATTTACTTAGTACGATACTTACAAATATTATTAAATTATATAGTATTATATACTATGCAATAGAGCTTAACCTTATTTAATGATTTAATCACATAAACTGTATTGTTCTTACTTATATTTATAGCTGAAGCAGAAGGTAAGTCTAAACTTTCCATATTTAGATACAAATATAATTTTAATAACAGACATTAATATATTTATATACATAAGAGGAAATTAATGAACCCACTGTGGTTTTGTCATATCCGGAAATTGTATTAACTTCATCCGGAAGTTTCCTACAGGAGGTGTTTAGCGCTTTGCTTTATAGCATCTCGCTTCGCACGTGTGTGAGTTTCGCTTATTTAATTTACAAGTGCCGTAACGAGTATTATTATTATTTAACGGAAATTTATTGTGATACTGACAACTAATACCAAAATTATGCAACGGAGTTTAACTTTATTTAAAGATTTAATCGCATAAATTATTCTGTTTTTCTTTATATTCATAGCTCAAGCACAGGGTGAGTCTAAACTTTATATTTTTAAATACAAATAAAACTTTAATTTTATTAAATTTTTGTCGTTTCCAGTAATTGTTTCGATTTCATCCTGAATTCTTCTTCAAGGGGCGTTTTGCATTACAGCGTCTCACCTTGCATGGGTGCGAGCTCCAATTATTTGTATTACATTTGCCATAAATAACATTTACGAGTATTATTATTATTTAACAGTTACTTAGTACGATACTTGCAATAGAGTTTAATCTTATTTAATGATTTAATTACATAAACTGTATTGTTCTTACTTATATTTATAGCTGAAGCGGAAGGTAAGTCTAGACTTTCCATTTTTAGATACAAATATAATTTTAATAACAGCCTTTAATATATTTAAATACATAAGGGAAAATTAATGAACCGACTGTGTTTTTGTCATATCCGAAAATTGTATTAACTTCATCCGGAAATTTTCTACAGGAGGTGTTTAGCGCTTTGCGTCACAGCATCTCGCTTCGCACGTGTGCGAGTTTCGCCTATTTAATTTACAAGTGCTGTAACGAGTATTATTATTATTTAACGGAAATTTATTGTGATACTGACAACTAATACCAAAATTATATCGTATTATATAATTTGCAATAGAGTTTGACCTTATTTAAGGATTTAATTGCATTAACTACCCTTTTTTCCTTTATATTCATAGCTCAAGCACAGGGTGAGTCTAAACTTTATATTTTTAAATACAGATAAAACTTTAACAATAGCCTTTAATGTGTCTTAAAACATTTGAGAAATTAATGAACTCACTGTATTTTTGTCGTTTCTAATAATTGTTTCGATTACATCCTGAGTTTTTCTTCGAGGGGCGTTTTGCATTACAGCGTCTCACCTTGCGTGGGTGCGAGTTCCACTTATTTGTATTACATTTGCCATAAATAACATTTACGAGTATTATTATTATTTAACAGTTACTTAGTACGATACTTACAAATATTATTAAATTATATAGTATTATATACTATGCAATAGAGTTTAACATTATTTAATGATTTAATCACATAAACTGTATTATTTTTAATTATATTTATAGCTGAAGCAGAAGGTAAGTCTAGACTTTCCATTTTTAGATACAAATATAATTTTAATAACAGCCTTTAATATATTTAAATACATAAGGAGAAATTAATGAACCCACTGTGTTTTTGTCATATCCGGAAATTGTATTAATTTCATCCGGAAGTTTCCTACAGGAGGTGTTTAGCGCTTTGCTTCACAGCATCTCGCTTCGCACGTGTGCGAGTTTTGCTTATTTAATTTACAAGTGCCGTAACGAGTATTATTATTATTATTTAACGGAAATTTATTGTGATACTGACAACTAATACCAAAATTATGCAACGGAGTTTAACTTTATTTAAAGATTTAATCGCATAAATTATTCTGTTTTTCTTTATATTCATAGCTCAAGCACAGGGTGAGTCTAAACTTTATATTTTTAAATACAAATAAAACTTTAACAATAGCCTTTAATATATTTTAAAACATTTGGGAAATTAATGAACTCACTGTATTTTTGTCGTTTCTAATAATTGTTTCGATTTCATCCTGAATTCTTCTTTAAGGGGCGTTTTGCATTACAGCGTCTCACCTTGCATGGGTGCGAGTTTTGCTTATTTGATTTACAAGTGCCGTAACTAGTATTATTATTATTTAACGGAAATTTATTATGATACTGACAAGTAATACCAAAATTATATCGTATTATATAATGTGCAATAGAGTTTGACCTTATTTAAGGATTTAATCGCATTAACTACTCTGTTTTTCTTTATATTCATAGCTCAAGCACAGGGTGAGTCTAAACTTTATAGTTTTAAATACAGATAAAACTTTAACAATAGCCTTTAATGTGTCTTAAAACATTTGGGAAATTAATGAACTCACTGTATTTTTGTCGTTTCCAATAATTGTTTCGATTTCATCCTGAATTCTTCTTCAAGAGACGTTTTGCATTACAGCGTCTCACCTTACATGGGTGCAAGTTCCACTTATTTGTATTACATTTGCCATAAATAACATTTACGAGTATTATTATTATTTAACATTTACTTAGTACGATACTTACAAATATTATTAAATTATATAGTATTATATACTATGCAATAGAGCTTAACCTTATTTAATGATTTAATCACATAAACTGTATTGTTCTTACTTATATTTATAGCTGAAGCAGAAGGTAAGTCTAAACTTTCCATATTTAGATACAAATATAATTTTAATAACAGACATTAATATATTTATATACATAAGAGGAAATTAATGAACCCACTGTGGTTTTGTCATATCCGGAAATTGTATTAACTTCATCCGGAAGTTTCCTACAGGAGGTGTTTAGCGCTTTGCTTTATAGCATCTCGCTTCGCACGTGTGTGAGTTTCGCTTATTTAATTTACAAGTGCCGTAACGAGTATTATTATTATTTAACGGAAATTTATTGTGATACTGACAACTAATACCAAAATTATGCAACGGAGTTTAACTTTATTTAAAGATTTAATCGCATAAATTATTCTGTTTTTCTTTATATTCATAGCTCAAGCACAGGGTGAGTCTAAACTTTATATTTTTAAATACAAATAAAACTTTAACAATAGCCTTTAATATATTTTAAAACATTTGGGAAATTAATGAACTCACTGTATTTTTGTTGTTTCTAATAATTGTTTCGATTTCATCCTGAATTCTTCTTTAAGGGGCGTTTTGCATTACAGCGTCTCACCTTGCATGGGTGCGAGTTTTGCTTATTTGATTTACAAGTGCCGTAACGAGTATTATTATTATTTAACGGAAATGTATTATGATACTGACAAGTAATACCAAAATTATATCGTATTATATAATGTGCAATAGAGTTTGACCTTATTTAAGGATTTAATCGCATTAACTACTCTGTTTTTCTTTATATTCATAGCTCAAGCACAGGGTGAGTCTAAATTTTATAGTTTTAAATACAAATAAAACTTTAACAATAGCCTTTAATATGTCTTAAAACATTTGGGAAATTAATGAACTCACTGTATTTTTGTCGTTTCTAATAATTGTTTCGATTTCATCCTGAATTCTTCTTTAAGGGGCGTTTTGCATTACAGCGTCTCACCTTGCATGGGTGCGAGTTTTGCTTATTTGATTTACAAGTGCCGTAACTAGTATTATTATTATTTAACGGAAATTTATTATGATACTGACAAGTAATACCAAAATTATATCGTATTATATAATGTGCAATAGAGTTTGACCTTATTTAAGGATTTAATCGCATTAACTACTCTGTTTTTCTTTATATTCATAGCTCAAGCACAGGGTGAGTCTAAACTTTATAGTTTTAAATACAGATAAAACTTTAACAATAGCCTTTAATGTGTCTTAAAACATTTGGGAAATTAATGAACTCACTGTATTTTTGTCGTTTCCAATAATTGTTTCGATTTCATCCTGAATTCTTCTTCAAGAGACGTTTTGCATTACAGCGTCTCACCTTACATGGGTGCAAGTTCCACTTATTTGTATTACATTTGCCATAAATAACATTTACGAGTATTATTATTATTTAACATTTACTTAGTACGATACTTACAAATATTATTAAATTATATAGTATTATATACTATGCAATAGAGCTTAACCTTATTTAATGATTTAATCACATAAACTGTATTGTTCTTACTTATATTTATAGCTGAAGCAGAAGGTAAGTCTAAACTTTCCATATTTAGATACAAATATAATTTTAATAACAGACATTAATATATTTATATACATAAGAGGAAATTAATGAACCCACTGTGGTTTTGTCATATCCGGAAATTGTATTAACTTCATCCGGAAGTTTCCTACAGGAGGTGTTTAGCGCTTTGCTTTATAGCATCTCGCTTCGCACGTGTGTGAGTTTCGCTTATTTAATTTACAAGTGCCGTAACGAGTATTATTATTATTTAACGGAAATTTATTGTGATACTGACAACTAATACCAAAATTATGCAACGGAGTTTAACTTTATTTAAAGATTTAATCGCATAAATTATTCTGTTTTTCTTTATATTCATAGCTCAAGCACAGGGTGAGTCTAAACTTTATATTTTTAAATACAAATAAAACTTTAACAGTAGCCTTTAATGTGTCTTAAAACATTCGGGAAATTAATAAACTTACTGTGTTTTTGTCATTTCCAACAATTGTTTCGACTTCATCCGTAATTTTTCTTTAAAAGGCATTTTGCGTTTTTCGTCACGGTATCTCACCTCGCACGTGTACGAGTTCCGCTTATTTGTTTTACAAGTGCTATAACGAGTATTATTATTATTTAACGGATATTTATTATGATCCTGACAACTAATATATTTTATTATATTTATATTGTATTATACGAGTATATTTTGCAACGGAGTTTGACTTTATTTAAAGATTTAGTCGCATAAATTATTTTGTTTTTTCTTTATATTCATAGCTCAAGCACAAGGTCAGTCTACACTTTATATTTTTAAATACAAATAAAACTTTAAAAATAGCCTTTAATGTGTCTTAAGACGTTCGGGAAATTAACGAACTTACTGTATTTTTGTCATTTCCAACAATTGTTTCGACTTCATCCGAAATTCTTCTTCAAGAGACGTTTTGCGTTTTACGTCACGGCATCTCACCACGTACGTGTACGATTTCCGCTTATTTGTTTTACAAGTGCTATAACAAGTATTATTATTATTTAACGGATATTTATTATGATGCTTACAACTAATATCAAAATTATATCTTATTTTATATTTTGCAATGGAGTTTAACCTATTTAAGGATTTAATTTCATAAACTATTCTGGTTTTCTTTATATTCATAGCTCAAGCACAAGGTGAGTCTAGATTTTACATTTTTATATACCAATAAACCTTTATTAATAGCCTTTAGTATATCTATATACACACGTAAAATTAATGTACTCACTGCGTATTTGTCGTTTCTGACTATTGTTTCAACTTCATCCTGAAGTCATCTTCAGGAGGCGTTTAGGGCTTTGCGCCACAGCACCTCGCCTTGCGCGTGTGCGAGTTTCGCTTATTTGTTTTACAAGTGTAATATAGAATATGTATGTAATTATTATTATTTAACGGATATTTATTATGATATTTACAACTTTTATAGTCTCATGTCAGCATGATATTATACGATACATTTTTATAATCATTAAGCTACGATTTATCTTACAAGGAGTTTGTTTGTACTTAGTCGCCTTCTTGGGTAGATTTAAAAGATATTTGACCATCAAGGGAAATGGTTATAACTGATATCTAGTAAAATACAAGTAATAAATAAAATAATATTTTATTATATAATTTCTAATGAAATTTGACCTTGTCTTATTTAATTTTATATATTTGGTTTAATTCATAGCTAATGCACAAGGTGAACCAATACTTTCTTTAAGAATTGTATTAGTACGGTATATACGTAATTTTAAATACGTATTAATTAATTTCTTAACTTAAAATACTAATATTTTTTAATTGGATCAACGAGATATCGATTTATTTTTAGATGAATGTAACATAAAATGTATACATTTTATATGTATATGACTGATGACAATAATCTATCCTGACCTGTTAGTTTATATATATAAGTTGTATGTGTCACTTATGCTGTAGTGAATTATGGTGTGTTCTTGATTACAAACTCAAACTAATTTTGTTATCAAAATTTTTAAAACAAGAGTTTGTATTGAATTGTATGTGATAGCATGGGTATATAATAGTAGATATATTGATGCAGTGGAGTCAATATATGACCTTATTAATAAGTTCAATTAGACTGTTATTTGTTCAGGTTAATAATTGAAGTTACGATTGTCATAAAATCTCACATATTTGGTAACAAATGAGATATTATAACAATGTAATTTATTGAAAATCTTGTGAGGTAATTTGAGTGTTGTTTACAAAAGGATTAGTAATAGTGAAATAATGTAATCAGCGTCATAACTTACATTTATTATAAAATTAAATAACCATGCATTCACTTGCATGAGCAGACTATATACAATCGAAAAGCAGTAAAATTCATTGTTTATTGTGATACTAACAGACTTATCCGTAAAAAATCTTATTATAAATTTAAAGAGCTGTAACTAAAACGTTAAATAACTCTTTAAAACAGTATGTTATTCATACACACTCAATAAGTCCACAATAACTAAAATAGTTTTATTGGATGATTAACGACATTATCTTACAAACTTGTCAAGTTCTACACACAATACACATAGTTGTAGTCAACTGTTAAAAATATTATGTTAATTTAATAAAATTATATTTTTATAACAATATATTACCTTTATATATCACCGTGTAAGTTTCGGCATAAAATGGACCACCCCTTCCTTTTCCGTGTCGTAAAAGGTGACTAAGAAAACTTATGGTCGAAGGATAGGCTAGCAGCGTCCCTGTTAAATCATTACGAAAGGCCTGACTTCAGTTACCAGCCTATCAAGCGTGGCAACTACTGACAAAAACGGTTATGATAGGTTTATAAAACATCTAATATTGCTATTGAACAGTCATAGCAAGGTTAGGAAGCACATTTTTGAATATATTTTTTTTATAATAATGTTACTTCCTTATTATTTAGAGAGAGTTTATAACGGGTCAATATTTTTTTTATAAATAAAACAGTAATTTTTCACGCTACGGCAGTTGGGAACAAGCGAATATTTATTTCAGTATCGATGTACTCATTATTAATTGCATAGTAAGCAGTCTGCAATGAAGTTATTAAAATTTTAATAATTTTGATTTTTTTTTTCATAGCTGCAGCACAAGGTGAATTAAGAATTTAATCTGTTTTCTTTTTAACTTTTACTTTACACTCTTCTTTTTCCCTTCTTACTTCCGTTTTTGTTTATACTAAAATTACTTAGAACATTACAATTTTTACCTATAGAATATGTAAAAATTTAGTCGTAAATGATGCCGTTTGTGGAAGAAAACTACATTTAATCCATCTAGCTATTAGGAACTAATCATGTTATGAAATACTTATTTTCGTGACGAAGTATTTGCTCAATATTGGGGTTATGTATAAAATATAATTTCAATCAACCCAAAAATATAAAACGTGAAGTTAATACCACATAACTGCTGTATTATTTACCAGTCAGCCGTTGATAGAAATAATAGAAAATATAACTGAAAGTAGAACGTTTATTACGCAAAGAAAAAACAATGAAGTATATCTTAACACAGTATTAGCTATTGTTATATCTATTTATACAATTTGTATAACAATCTTTACTAATGATATAAATCTTTATCGTATCTATATCGTTTGTTTATTTGTTTGTTACCTGTTATTTGCGCCCTAACGACTCAACCAATCTCCATGTTTGGTATAGATATATGTACTATATAGAATGGAAAAGGATAGAGGTTACTTTTTATCCCGGTCACGCAGATGAAGTCGCGAGATAAAGCTAGTAGCATATAAAATTCATTTCCATTTTTAATTTAAAAGGTAAACAATCAATGTATTTTTTAATTTTTTGTTTACTTAAACATTATTTTTTTATCTCTATAGCTGCATCAAACGGTGAGTTAACATTTAGTATATATATTACAAAAATACTTATTTGTTTGAAAATGGACATATCTTAATTCCCAAACAAGCATATTTTTTTATATGTGACTAGATAGAATACTAACAATTCACCCCCCCCCCCCTTCTCAATAAGTACGTATTTACAAAATAAAAGTTATGTCAATCAGTTACGAAATAGGTACCCATAGTACAAACCCTACTTAGTTTAGGATAAAATAGCGCTGTGTATGAGTTCATTATCATTTCATCCGTTTATTGTCCACTGCTGAACATATGCTCTTCCCTTAAACTACCATAAGGAACATAGCGTATTTACGCTTTTATAGCCATGATGGACCATAGACTGCTATTTGTTTTTTTATATCTAGATTTAAGTATAGATCTAAATGTAATACATACCTTATATGGTTAATAGTACTAGTATTGACAGTAATAGTATTGTAGCTATATTTTTTGCGCTTGTCTCCGTATAGTTATAAATTGTAAGTTTCTAACTATGCATATATCAAATTTTGTTTATTTCATTTATTTAAACGTTTTTTTTCCTTATAATTTCAGCAACGGCTGGTGAGTCAAAATCATCTCACTTTACATACAGTATATTTTTCATTATAGACGCAAATCATCGCCGTCAACATGTGTACATAACTTATATGTATAATATTTATATGTTCTAGGATGAAATATTTTGAATATAATGATTTTTGGATTGACAAATTTTACATCTCCATGGCAATGCATTATGTTATGACATTATTACAAATGTTTACACTATAACAATCATGATCCCACATGTTTGATGTAGTTTGAATTCACATTTACAACACAACATAAAATACATTTAATATTTTTACTTAATTCCATAGGAGGAGAAAGTTCCGGAGGCGAAGGTATGTAGGGGGTGTAATCTTATTTTTATATGAATCTAATCAAAGAAAGTTATTTTATTAATGGAAGGAATATATTTTGCTGCTTTGCCTCCTTAATACGGACCTAATCAAAGAAAATTAAGTTATTTTAATATAACGCTATAACTTGTATTGCTAAGAAAAATTAAAACGTATATCTTACAAAACACAACGAAGAAAGATCAAATAATTTGAAAAAGTTTAAAAATCTACGTATGTGAGACTTAAATATAATAAATATATTTTGCTGCGCAAAGTAAAAATAGCCTCTTCAATCGTGACAAAACATGCCGACGAAAGACACAATATAACAAAAATTATTGCACTTGAGTAAAGTTAAACTTAAGTAAAGTTTTATGATTACAAAATTCAGCATTTGACGTTTTTACAGTATTAAATATAGTGTTATATTTATAATGTGAAATTATAATAATTTAATATATACTTTGTTTCGCGCTAAACCGGTATTCCTTAAGAATAATGAGAACCTTTAGAACCTCTCGATAATTATCTAAATTATCAGCATAGGATTAAATATATATGATCCAAGCTATCTCACAACACAACAGCTAATATATTTAATATATTTTTTAATTCTGCAGAGGACGAAAATTCTGATGATGAAGGTAAGTGAAGAGATTTAAACTTCTTTAATATTGACTTAATAAGACTAAATAAAACAAATATTTTAATCGTGACAAAATACAAAGGTAAACGATTAAATAATTCTAAAAAGTTTATATTCAGAACCCGAAATTTGGAATCAATTAGAATACTTTTCTTCACAGCCAATATGATTTTGCTACGACAGAATGGGGGTCTAAAGTAAAAATAGCCTCTTCAATCGTGACAAAACATGCCGACGAAATACACAATATCACAAAAATTATTGCACTTGAGTTAAGTTAAACTTAAGTAAAGTTGTATGATTACAAAAGTTTAGCGTTTAACATTTTTACAGTAATAGTATTAAATATAGTGTTATATTTATAATGTGATATTATAATAATTTAATATACACTTTGTTTCGTGCTAAACCGGTATTCCTTAAGAATAATGAGAACCTTTAGAACCTCTCGATAATTATCTAAATTATCAGCATAGGATTAAATATATATGATCCAAGCTATCTCACAACACAACAGCTAATATATTTAATATATTTTTTAATTCTGCAGAGGACGAAAATTCTGATGATGAAGGTAAGTGAAGAGATTTAAACTTCTTTAATATTGACATAATCAAAGAAAATTATTTAATTTTAATATAATAATAATTTTTTGCTACGAAGAATGAAAACAAATTTTTAATCGTGACAAAATACAATGGCAAACGATTAAATAATTCTAAAAAGTTTAAATTCAGAACCCGAAATTTTGAATCAATTAGAATACTTTTCTTCACAGCCAATATGATTTTGCTACGAAAGAATGGGGGTCTAAAGTAAAAATAGCCTCTTCAATCGTGACAAAACATGCCGACGAAATACACAATATCACAAAAATTATTGCACTTGAGTTAAGTTAAACTTAAGTAAAGTTGTATGATTACAAAAGTTTAGCGTTTAACATTTTTACAGTAATAGTATTAAATATAGTGTTATATTTATAATGTGATATTATAATAATTTAATATACACTTTGTTTCGTGCTAAACCGGTATTCCTTAAGAATAATGAGAACCTTTAGAACCTCTCGATAATTAACTAAATTATCAGCATAGGATTAAATATATATGACCCAAGCTATCTCACAACACAACACCTAATATATTTAATATATTTTTTAATTCTGCAGAGGACGAAAATTCTGATGATGAAGGTAAGTGAAGAGATTTAAACTTCTTTAATATTGACATAATCAAAGAAAATTATTTAATTTTAATATAATAATAATTTTTTGCTACGAAGAATGAAAACAAATTTTTAATCGTGACAAAATACAATGGCAAACGATTAAATAATTCTAAAAAGTTTAAATTCAGAACCCGAAATTTTGAATCAATTAGAATACTTTTCTTCACAGCCAATATGATTTTGCTACGAAAGAATGGGGGTCTAAAGTAAAAATAGCCTCTTCAATCGTGACAAAACATGCCGACGAAATACACAATATCACAAAAATTATTGCACTTGAGTTAAGTTAAACTTAAGTAAAGTTGTATGATTACAAAAGTTTAGCGTTTAACATTTTTACAGTAATAGTATTAAATATAGTGTTATATTTATAATGTGATATTATAATAATTTAATATACACTTTGTTTCGTACTAAACCGGTATTCCTTAAGAATAATAAGAACCTTTAGAACCTCTCGATAATTATCTAAATTATCAGCATAGGATTAAATATATATGACCCAAGCTATCTCACAACACAACAGCTAATATATTTAATATATTTTTTTTTATTCTGCAGAGGACGAAAATTCTGATGATGAAGGTAAGTGAAGAGATTTAAACTTCTTTAATATTGACTTAATAAGACTAAATAAAACAAATATTTTAATCGTGACAAAATACAAAGACAAACTATTAAATAATTCTAAAAAGTTTAAATTCAGAACCCGAAATTTTTAATCAATAAGAATACTTTTCTTCACATCCAGTATGATTTTGCTTCGAAAGAATGGAGGTCTTCAATCGCTTCTTACTTTGATTGTTAATAGACGCCATTTGTTGTCTTCAAGGAGACGCTTTGTCCATATAATATTACAAATACTCGTCTTTCTCTTTCTCTCTCTCTCTCTTTTCTTGATATTAATTAAGAAAGTCAAACGTACCAAGGCGTGTTTAACAATAACCTGAAGTATTAGATTATATTTGAACTTATGTAGTTCACATCACGTTACAACACTACAAAAATACGTTCAATATATTTTCTCATTCCATAGGCGGAGACAGTTCTGGAAGTGAAGGTACGTAGGGAGGTTTATTATGTTTAGTAGTTATAATAGTGTTGTATACTTATGTAATAGACTTTTAACACCAAAAAATATTACTGTACGGTCTGGTAGCCTAGAACTGAATTAAGTAAAACGTGTAAATACACTAAATATATAAAGAATTTATTTATTTACATAAAATCCAATTATAATATATATTCTTTTGTTTATTTTGTAAATAAACATTTTTATATAAATATAACAGTCTTGTTTTTGTTAAATCAATGCACCTGAGAATGTCATCAGGCATTAAGTTCTCCCTGTAGACATATTTTAATATGTTTAAAAGTACAAATAAATAATAAATTGTCTATGTCTGTAACTTATGAATGTGACGATGTAGAGGATATTTTTATTTCCTTTATATATATTTAAATATCACGTAATATCCAATGGATATATTTTATTAAAAATCAATAATCAATAATTATTCATAAAGATTAATATTGTTGATTTTTAGTAATACATAGCATCATGATTTTGTTCTTGTGCAACTGAAAATAGTAAACAAGCTGACGTTCCTATTAGAAAGTGGTCAGGGTCGTTATAGTACCATGAACATAACAGAGTTTATTATGTCACCCATGAAGGGTATCCTTCACGATATTACACGATACGTTATTATAATTATGTAGCTACAATTTGTCTGAAATAATACTTAAACGATCATGATTGATAAATATTTGTAAATACATAAAACTGAAAAGTAAAATTATAATCTCAATATTCTTATTAGTATAATAATAAGCAGAATATAATGGCTTATATACACGTTTTGTATTTTTTCCTTTACAGCTAGTTCGCAAGGTGATTCAAGATTTACTAATTTTATATACAAACAAATCTCTAATCTTACCTTTCTCTCTGCTTTTATATGCACGTTTTACATCCATATGCACAGATATGTAGTTTTCTATGAAATTATCTTTTATCACTGATTAATTGAAAGTTATGATTATATCAGTGAAATAGTACCTGTTAATATTTTTTAATTTACATAGGGAAATATGAATATTAACATGAGCAATACAAATTCATAACTTAATAAAAAAAGTATATCTAGCCCTCAGTTATTAATTTATATTCATCAATTGTATGCGTGGCATTTCATATGCTTGACCGAACAGCGATATATTCTGTAGATACCTAACTAGCGGTCAAAGCGAAAATCAGCCCATTACTCTCAAGATTTATAACTATACAGCTTATGTTCTACAAATGGAATTAGAAATACAAATATATGATTATTATAGTTATTATATAAATACTTTCAACTAATAAGTAAAATAATATCCTATTACGTTGTTTGCAATGGCGTTTAGCCTGCTTTTATTTAATTATTTAATTACACAAACCATTTTTTTTTTATTTTTGTTCATAGCTGAAGCACAAGGTGAGTCTAGATATATATAAATATTTAATAATAATATCTATGTGCCTATATAGCACGGCATACAATAGACCACCCCTTCTTTTTGTGTGGATATTATAAGAGAAGACTAAGGAAACTTAATGGTCGAGAGATGGGCAGTAACATTTCTCTTTAAACATCACAAAGAACCTAACTGCTGTTGCCAACCTGTCTGTCAAGAGTAGTAACTACTGGCGAAACTTCTTAATTGGAGAAAATACAAATAAATACAATAAATTCTCAATTCTTCTTAACTTCTACAGTGGACAATTGACGACTGATATGATGTTGATGAATTGTTTTTGATACTACTATTTATTACTACATGAATCAATTTAAATCTAACTCAAAATATACCTTGTTTGTATTGATCTCTAAATTTATTTTCATAGCTTATGTGTGATGGTAATGAAATGATTATTTGTTGCACAATATCCCAAACACAAGATCATTTTGAAATCAAAGTTTTACTTATTTTATTTCTTTTTTTTTTTTTGTTATTATCTCTACAGCATCATCAAATTGTGAGTTAAACCTTTATTAGCTTGGCTAAAATAATTCTAAGTACATTTTAATATTTTTCATATAGCTATACAATAGATATAGATATATATAACGATAGATAATGCGTAAAGCTTGACGCTTGTATAGAATCGTTTCGACTGACATCTTCACCAGTCGGTGGAACAAGTTATTCGAAGAGACGAAAAAGACACTATCGCCTACCATGTGTTGGCAAATAGCAAAATCTCTTAAGACTGACCAACATGACACTGGCATGCCCCCCTTAATAAAGCTGGCTAACACTTTATCCTACTTCGACTAGAAAAAAGAATCGCCTCGCTACTAACTTACAGTTCCAATGGTCACATTTCCAGTCGAGGCAAGTCGTATCAAGAGAATAGATACCGAAGGTGAATGCATCGCGTCCCACCTAACGAAACGCTCCCAACAGTCGTGCTTAACGAGGTCCAAATTTAATAAAAAAATTACCTTCCAAAAAGTCACTAGGTCTAGACGGAACCTCTAACAGACTCGTCGTAATCTGCCCACTTGCGGCAGCTATACGAGCAATAGAGGATAAAGCAGGAGTGGGTCATTATCTTTTACACTTGTCTACATAACGGTGTGTAATATAGGCACCTAAATCACGGTCATTTTTTATGAGGTTTTTAATTGATTTGCTTTTTGAGACTAATGTTTTTTCTTTATTATCTCTACAGCAACGGCAACTTGTGAGTCAAGATTTATTATTTTATTTATTTACTTATATAAAAATTAAGTCAAAGCATATATTTATATACTTATTTCTTGTACTCAATCTTCCAATAGATATGGTTGTCTACTTTTATCTATAATTTACTCATTTCAATTTATTATTTTTTTCAATCCGTCCGTATTTGTGTCTCATGAATAAATTTCGATAAGTACTAATGATAATTCTTTGTGAAGTTCAATACATGTCATCATGACGCTTATTGAACGATACATTATTACATTTGCATAACTGTAATTAATCTGACGAAGAGTATATGAGTACTAAGTCGCCTACTTGGGTTGCTTTCGTGGATAGTAAACAACAATTCCGCATTACTTAATAATTATTATAATAGTTAAAACCAATAAATAAAATTATATTGTCAATATTCTTATTAATAAAATAAAAAGCAGAATATAACGAATTATATACAACGTTTTGAATTTTTTTTTCTTCACAGCTAATTCACAAGGTGGGTCCAAACTTACTAATTCTATATATAAATAAATCTTTATTCAATATTTTTTCTCTACTTTTGTATATACATTTTACATCCATTATACACAAATAATTTTCAACGATGTAAATTTTGTGTCACTTTCAATCAATTGAAACTTAGGATTATTTTAGTGAAAATATATAACTTGTTAATATTTAATTTCTCTTCTTCGTGTATTCCGGCATAGTATAGGCCACCCCTTCCTTTCCCGTGGATTTCGTAAGAGACGAAAAAGGAGGGCGAAGTATGGGCAGCAGCGTCCAAAGCCTAACTGTGGATACCAATCCGCCCACCAGCGTGGCAACTACTGTCAAAATCTCCCAAGGAGGAGGCTTATGTTCAGCAGTGGACAGATAAAGGCTGATATGATTATGATAGCCACTATGCATACAATATTATATATATATATATTGGCGTGAATTTACTGGGTACAGAGGAATAACACCTGAGTCCTCAGGATTGGCAACGCATGGGGGGTATCATGCGCGAAACAGTATACTCTGTTATGTCCATGGTACTGCTCATGTCTATAGGCGATGGTTACCACTTTTCATCAGGTGGGCTATCAGCTTGCCATTCTAAGTTGTATAAAAAAAATAATTTTTAATGAAAAATATATCTTACCATCACCTCTTAATTTATAGTTATAACTGGTATATTACGAAACTAAGAATTTCTTGCAATTATCCGAATAATGATGTATTCTGTAAACACCTATCTAGAAGTCATTTCATTAACAAATTTTTCCTTGTTTTATTTCATAACCATTGTTTTTACTTTATTCTCTACAGCATCATCAAATTGTGAGTCAATGTTTTATATATTTATATAAAAATAAATCGAAGTACATATTAATATATTTTTTCATACGTAGATATATAGATAGCTACATAATAGAAAATAGATATATGTATATAGCAATAGGCAACGCGTAAAGCTTGACGCTTGTATAGGAGCGTAATGACCGACTTCTATGGTGTGGTAAGTTACTCGAAGAGATTACGCTGTCGTACGCCGCGTATTGGCGAATAGCGAAATTAAGACATTATTGCCATTCGACCACTAAAGGCTATAAACAAACTGGGCACATGATTACATCGGTGAAATGAATAGAACTATTCGGCCATGTAATCCCGTAGGTGCCCCATGTCAAATATCTAGGCGTTACTTTAGACAGTAAACTAACATTTCGACCTTAAATAAAGCATGTCCGCAATAAAACCACTTTCGTTCTCGGACGTTTATACTCCTTCGTCAATAAGCATAATAAAATGTGTCTTAATTAATAACAAACATTATACAAAGCTTGCGTAAGGCGATATCCTCACCTACGCCATTCCCGTATTCACCTAGGTAGAGTGCCACCTTCTTAAAAGGTTCCAGACTTTATCAAATAAATTCTTGAGGCGAGCCACTAGCGTGCCATGGTTCGTCCACAACGTAGATCTCCATAGCGGTCTCAAACTCCCCACTATACAACATATTATAAAGGAAATATCTAGACGCTTCTTCAACTCCGCCCAACCGCACCCCAATCCACAAAAAACCACCTCACAATGACCTCAGAGTATTTAAGTCGTAGCTGGTGGGCAGGAAACGGCGAAAAGCCGTTGTGTAAATGTTTCCGCAAGTTTGGATTGTTGTATACACTTACCCAGTTTTTTCATCCAGTGAAGCTGAAAAGGGCATCTGCGTTTAACAGCATAAAATAATTTAAAAAAAAACGACCTATTCACATAGGAATGCTAGCAATCTTGCGCGATGGTTGTCAGAGAAGCTCCGCAGCATTTCCAAAAATTCTGTGAAACTTAATTCCATATAAAACTTATAAAACATAAAAAAATATAATAGCTCATACGATACCGATACATTCAAAATATTACTCTAGGTTCTATTTTCAATAAAAAAATACTCAAATATTCAAATGAAAATTATTCCAGTATCGTGTTTAATGATTGACTATACAGCGTTCAATAGATTTATCGGTATTTAAGTTCGAATTAGATTATTTCCTTCCTTATTAAAATCTGTCTAAACTTACGTTCAGAGCGTACCTAGACTTTATAATATTTATAAAAAAAGTATATACTTTAGAATATATAATAGAAGTATATAATGATGAATCTTCCTACGTACTAAGAATTTTGTAATCATCTGAATTGCGCAGGCGTTGGTAGCCAATGCATGTCGATATCGAATTTTACCAGAGGGAGTCTTTGTACAAAAGTCGTTTGCTTGGGTAACTCTGTCCCATTCGTGTTTCAACCGTAAAGCAGTTGTGTTTGCATGGCTGTGTTTCGGTTTGAAGGGTGGAATACGGCGTGAATTTACAGGATACAGAGGTATAACATCTGAGTCCTTACATGAAAGCATTGAGAGACATTGGACTCATTATTTGTTGCACTTGTTTATACGAGTATAACAGTGTGTAATGTCCCTGAATCAAGATCATTTTTTTAATCAATTTTTAATCGTTTTACTTTTATAACTCCTTTATTATATCCACAGCAACAGCAACATGTGAGTCAAAATTTATTATCTCATTTACTCATATAGTTTCTCTTCTATACATGAGCGTTCTGCTTATTTGTGTTGCAATTACGAATATATTGTATTATTGAATAATTTTTGGTTATAAAAATACAATATATTTATAACCAGTATTATTATTATTTACGGATGTGTATTATGATACTGAAAACTAACACCAATATTATATAATATAATATATTGTGCAATGGAGTTTAACTTTAAGGATTTAGTCACATAAACAATTTTTTTTTATATATATATTCATAGCTGAAGCACAAGGTGAGTCTACACTTTCTATTTATAGATACAAATAAAATTTTAATAATATTCCTTAATATATCTATACTCATACGGGAAAATAATGAAGTCACTGTGTTTTTGTCGTTTCCGACAATAGTTTCGACTTTATCCGTAAGTTTCCTACAGGAGGCATTTTGCGCTCTTCGACTCAATGTCTCGCATTTCAAATATGCGAGTTTCGTTTATTTGTTTTACAAGTTTTATTTGTACGAAAGTCGTTTGCTTAAGGACCTCTGTCCCATTCGTGTTTAAACCGTAAAACAGTTATGTTTGCAAGACTGTGTTTCGGTTTTCAAACCAAAACAGCAATGCAATAACATCTGAGTCCTCAAAAATGGCAACGCATGGGGCAGTATACTCTGTTATGTCCAGGGTACTACTGCTCATGTCTATAGGCGACGGTTACCACTTACCATCAGGTGGGCCGTCAGCTTGTTTGTCATTCTAAGTTGTAAAAAAAAGAGCAATAAAGAATAATTATATATATATATATATATATATATATATATATATATATATATATATATATATATATATATATATATATATATATATATATATATATATATATATATATATATATATATATATATATCCATACATACAAATTGTAAGTCTACATTTTAAACTTTTTGACACAAAATTTAGTAACAGCAGCAGAATTTAATGGCATACTTTATATTATTTTTTCAATGTATAAATGCGCTAAAATGTACAATAATAATTACTCTATTCGCGCACACAAATGTAACTTTCCTCCAATATCAGATTGCAATTGCCCCAAAATTAACACAACACAACACATAAAATATCTAGGTGTTATAATAGATGCAAATTTAACATTTGAAAAGCACATTGATTCTGTTTCACATGGTGCGTAAACTTGTCTATATCTTTAAACAACTTCGAAATAAACTATAAAATTGGTATACGATGCATTAGCAAGATCTGTCTTAACCTTGTGCAAAAACTAAATTGATAACACTAGAAAGAGCTCAAAGATTAATATTATGCTGCAT